ACAATTTGTAACGCAGCAGAATTTATTCTCTTGGTTTCACTGATGTAAATCTGGAGTAGTTCCCACTGACTTGAGCTGATCTGTATTCTGCTCTTCGTTATAGTGGTCTGGGTTTGGTTAAATGGTGTTAGGTTGGATTAAAAGGGAACAAAATAAGGTTCTAGTAAGTTCAAAATATATCTTGCCCTCTTTCAGAGTGGAAAAGTGAAGAGGCATGTGTGTGCATGGGGGAGGAAAGCACAGGAGGACACACATCTCCCCCCATGCACCCCGTTACATTCAGGTAGCTGTGCTGGTAGCGGTTTACCATTCTTTTACCTGGTAGTTGCACTCTGGGTCAAGGCAGTGGTAATGTTCTCTATACTGGTATGCACAGTGTATATGTCCACAGTGCTGACTGCCAGAGAACCTGCAAACATGAGAGGACAGAAGGAAGAAAGGGAGAGAGAGTGAATCAGTGTCCTGACAGCAATGTCTTTAAGCAAGGTACAAATAAAGTAAGTCCCATTCCATGTTTATGGCATTTAATCTCATCTCCTTTATCCCCTCCAAGGATGGTGACCCTCCTGCCTTCCTCTTCTTTTTTGTCACTATGTAAAGGTGCTTCGTGAGTAGGATCATTCCTAATCTGTCAGTCTTTCCCTTTGAAATTCATTTCCATTATCCAAGTTGCTTACTTGGGGAAGAGCAAGAAAGGACGGTTCCTTGAATTAAATATAAAACCATTCTAAAATTCTCCTGCATGAGTTCAGACACCATAGCAGTTGAACTTCAGAAATCTCCCATGCCAGAAGGAGACAAATAAACATCGGACAAATACAGATTCTAAATTTTTGGTATATGCCCATCTGGTAGGCCCTCAGAAAAGCTCAGGTGTTTTTTTATCACAGTATGGTGTCACACTACAGAAAAGATTGCAAACCAGTGGATTAGATGGTAAGCCACACAGACAGAAGATGATCATGGCAAGATTACATAGGAACTTTCAGTAAGGTGGACAGAGCAATGGAAAGGCATGTGAGATGGACCAACAGGAACAGAATGGAGCGTTACAGGCAGACCATCTCAACCCTGCATGTGCTTCTCCTATGCACGACAGCCCTGCTAATTGTTATTTTCCATGTGGATGCTGTGTTTGCTCACAACAAAAAATAGTGCAATGCAAAAGAACAGGGTTTTCAGCTTGCCTTTGAGTGCAATTAAAAGTAGGACACAAAAAGCAACAGCCAACAACACGCACCCAATCCATTTCTGCAGGCCACCACTGAGCATTCCACGCAGCAAATTTGGAAATTCCTGACATACAGGTGGAAAAAAACCCCAGAAAGGCAGAAATGCCATATAATATCTACCTACAGACAGTACATTGAATGTATTGATTGACAGACATATCAGTAACTGGCAAAAGGGAATGATCCTAATCAGTGCAATGAACTCTCTGATGTATATTCCAGAGGACCCTGGAAGAGCTGAAGAGCTTGAAAGGGAAAAGCAGTGGAGAGGAGGGGACTCAGAGGGGAAACATTCAAAGATAAAGCACCATCTGCTCAAAGGTTCCTCAAAGGTTCCTCACGTCACTTAGTGCTGAACACAGCAGGAGTACATGCGATAAAGGGCATGGGAAAGAAACAAGGGCAGGCAATGGGTAAAAAGGAAAAAAGAGAGGAGTGAGGGTGTCCTGGGGCAATCAAGGAACGGGGCAGAAGCAGGGAAGATTATGGATCATCATAAGGTGAGGTAACGCTAAGCTACAGGACAGAAAAAAGTCAGGCTGAGAAGCAGTACTAAATAAGGCATTTCCGAAGCACAGTAAGGAAGAGGAGGTCAACTGTGGAGACAGCAGGGCCTCTAGGAGATGGAAAGGGGACTTAATTGACAGAAAAGATAGACATTGCTAAAAAATTAAATGACTTCTTTGCCTCAGCATTCACAAAGGGAGACAGGGACAGATGCCAGGAGCAGACATGCCTTTCCCTGGGGAAGGAGAAGAAATACTGCAGGAAATCAGGATCACGTCAGAACAGGTGATTGAGAAACTAGAACAAACCTCAGCAGCTGAGAAGAAACAAACCACAAGGCAAACAGCAAGGCTGGCTGCACAAACAAAGGTGTGGAGCTGAAAGCAGAGGAAGCGATTCCTGCTCAACGCCTGGGCAACTGTGAGGCTAGTACAGAGCAGAGGCAGCAGCCTGAGTCACCACAGCATTAACCAGGTACACGCAGCTCAGCAGCAGATCGAACCAACTGGTCCTGCTAGTCCAGGGCTTTATGTCAGTAGCACCACCAACAGATTTAAAGGAAAGAAACTCCTCTATGGAAAACTTCCTCCCTATTCCACTGAAGAGACGGGGAAGAGAGAGCAAAGGGCTGTGCAGGGCTGGAGAACTGCAGAGTGCAGGCCAGGCAGAGAGGAAAGGAAGATAAAGACCTTGCTGACAAATATACAGCTTTGAAGCAAAGTAGTCAAAAATATTATCGAAAGTGAGGATGCAAAATGACCAGAGATGCCAACTGCAGTATAAGAAGGGCCAGACACCCAAGAGATGTGACCGTCTGGGATGAGTTACTTGAAACATCCTAGCAGGAGTAACTTCACAGGCTAAGCTTTAAAATCAACAGCTAAACAAGCACTCTAGCACTTCAAACTCCTACCCTGCCTTCCACGTGCCACGGAAAGGTGTGTGTGTGTGGTGTCTACACGCAGGAAGGGAGAGGCAAGTGTTCTACCAAACTGTGTGCTTGGGGAAGGAGGGAAGCGGCAAACACAGTACAAAGGGGAAATTCTGCTCTTTCAGTCTGTAGGTTAGGCTGCTAAAGGGTTATATTTATTCTGTGTTTCTTCTGACACTTGAAACAGTTCAAAGCTATTAATTTTTAAAGCACAGCATCTGTTTAGCTTTTTCATAACAGGAAAGCTTACACACCACACACTTACACGCATACACACGCGCACATTTACATGCACGTACTCTAAGGTACACCAACACCCCTCTTAATTTACATGAACGTACCCACAATTTCCATGCACATGAACAGACATAAACACACACACCTGAAACAAGCAAACTCACAGACCATTTAATAACACTGATATGCAAATCCAAACTCCTAAATTGTCCACACAGGCACATAGATTCATTGTCACAAGAACAATCCCCTCCCCCTTCCCTTACTTTAATCAGTTCACTTTTTTTCCTTTTTTTTTTTTTTTTTTTTTGGCCAGAAAGAACTAGTCTTGATCTGGCAAGAGTTAGAAAGAAAAACCAAGATAAATAAATAATAATAAAAATAATAAATAAAGTAGTCAGCATGCTTACAGAGTGTTTACAGACTCATTACCCTGTAACGATGATGTGAAAGAAGGAAGAAAAAAAAACCCACCCCAATTACAAGGGGGGAGGAAACCCACATAGAAATAAATATTTAAGCAAGTGCTGCCAGAAGCACCATCTGCTGAGGCACTAATAATAATAATAATAATTTTTTCTGTGGTCTTTTTTTTTTTTAATTATAAATATACAGGGAGAGGGGGGAAACAACCCAACCCAAACTAGCTAAGTAAGAGGTTTTGTTTTGTTGTGTGAGAGAATGGATTATCCCTGGGCAGCTTTTGGCAGTGGCTTTGGCAAACTCATTAAGCTAATTATGCAGTACAGACATAGAGTGTCGTGTCTCTCTCCCCCCACCCTTGATTTTAAGGCTTTAAACTGTTTTTAAAATTGTGTGTAAATTGAAGGGAAGTGGCTGTGCTGCCAACGGGCGGCTTGCGGAGCTTTTCAAGCAGGATGTGGTGTCCCTTCGCTATCTCACAAGCCTCCCTCAGTCACCTGCCTGACCGAGGGGAAGGGGCTTGCAGAGTGCTGCGGAGAGTGGATGTGGGTGAGGTGTTTATATAGTTCACTGCTTGAGAGGGGAACTGGAGATAGAAGGGGTGGCATCTCCTCTCTCACTGCACCCTCTGCGATTCCTGCAATCTCAGCAGTAGAAGGCTGCTGCTCCTTCTGCCCCATACGAAGATGGGCTTAAACCCCTGCCTTCATTCCTATACTCTCCCAGGAGGCAGTGAGTTGCCACGTGCACTAGAGGCATTGCTGTTTGAGGAGCCGCATGTGGTGGTGCAACTGTCTTCTCTTCCCATGTGGTCTTCTGCCCCCTTCTCCTACATCAGGGATTTGGGCAAAAGGGAGGAAAGGGTATCACCTCTCGTTCCACTCTCCAGCTAGGAAGAGCACTGTTCCCACCCTTTTTCCCTTCTGAAGTGCCAAGATCTTCCCTTCCACCTTCCTAGCAGCTGACTGCCTCCCACAGGGAGACTCTCTGTAGACTCTGGCAAGGTGGGAAAGCACAGTACACATTTCCCTCCCTTCTTGTTAGTAAGCGCCCAAGTGCTGGTGGGGACAAACCCTTCAGTCTTACCTCTGGAGAGAACTGTTTGCTTGCTTCCCTGACTGGTGTCTTTCTGTATACAAGGGGCTTTCATAGTACAGACGGGGGATTCAACAGGCCAGGGGCAAAAGCTAATGGACCCTTTACACCGTGCACTATAAACCAGGCAGGTGTTCCACAATAATCTCCTCTGTCCCTTTGGCTCTCATGGCATTACTCACTCTGTCTCACCACAACAGCCTTGGGCTCTCTCTCAGCTCATTCCCGACCTAAGCTTGCTCACAGCTGTGATAAGATGCCCTAGTCTGCACCTTGTTCAGTGAGGGTTTCTCATATAAACAAGCTGCAAAATTTTCTAGGATAAACATCCCACATTGATGCCAAGACCTGCCTAAACTCGAGTCACTTGCGAATTCCTCCAGCCTAGATTCTCCGAGGCAAGATGTTCTCTGCTTGACTCCTGCAGGTCCTGGACATGGTAGGGGAAAAAGGCTGCAGACAGCACAGCAATGGACAGAAGAACGACAGTCAAGAGTGCTCCCATTTAAATCCTGGGCTTCTGCAGTGAAATATTTTTCCACTATTTGTCACAAAGTCTAACAGCTCTGGGGAGCCGAGCATGCTCTTGGCATGCTTGTACACCTCTCACAGCTACTACTCTCCCAAGCAGGGGAACAGAGCAAGTACAGATGCCAGAGAGAAATGGAAGTGCCAATGACTGGTTTAAACAGTTGATCCAGATGGACAAGACCTCATCTCTCCCACCACCACTCCACCCTCTTGCTTCCAGCCCTCTCCCCAAGAAAGTCAAGAGTTTTGCCTACCTGGCAATATACTTCTGGTAAATATTTACGTCTTCGCTGACAGCTGGTTTGTCAGTGGGTAATCCATTCCTAATGAGAAACACACAGGGCAGAGCTGGTTAGCAGGGAGGAACAGGGCACAGTCTAAGCTCCTTGTTTCTCTCACATGCCACTGACACATCAGGAGATGCGGGCCCAGGGAAGAGTACCCAGCAAAGACACCCACAGGTTTACCCTCCCTCCCCCTTACCCTTCAAATCCTGTACCTTCATTTCCTAGGGAACCAGCCCGCCTACCACCCCTCCTGCAAATTCTCTCTTTGCAGGACACAGTTCAGTTTGTTGGAGACACTGAGAAGACCAACATGGGAAAACCCATTTCCACAGAAAAAACCTAAACACCCACATGCAAACAAGTGATGGCCACATGAAAACAAACACCTCCCTAAAGCACCTTGCAACACTGCCCTTGTGTGCATGGACAAGCCATTGAGACATATCTATCCTAGACCCAACTGTGGGAGAAGAGTCTCTGCGCTTCAGCCACGCTGTGAGTTACTGCGCACTTCCTACGGCCAGCAGGCACACTGTTCTGCTACCCGGTACTGGCAACATGGCTACAGGCCCTTCGATGGGGCTTTAATTGCCTCTTTCCTCACACAGATACCCCAACTCCAATAGACAGATGGGGCAGCAAAGGTATTTATGTATTTTAATCAATGAGAAAACCAACCCAACTGCACCTAGCTGCCACATAAGCCTGGGTTACTTAACATCATTAGCAAGCAGACAAAAATCACATCCTCAATGAGTTCAGCAAGAGGAAAAAGAGACACAGGGCCAGACTCCAGGCTACCTAAAAGACAGTAGCACACCAACACAACCCCAGACAGGTTGCATGCTGTCTTCCTTCTCAGTTTTGCCCACACCCAACTTCCACTCCTACTCGTGACAGCTCTGAAGGTTTAAACAAGGACACTTTCGCACAGAGTTCACTTGAAGTAGGTAGATTAGTTCAGGGCAGGTTAATAGCATTAGATGTTACAGAGTTTAAACCTATGGCTAGGGTATATGTGGGTACGTGTGAGAGTAGGGGGTAATTCCTGCCAGGTTACTTTGTCCCAGTGGGGACTGTGAATGGAAAGCCAGGTCCCAGATACCACAGTTAGCACTGCCTCCATCAGCACAATTAATGGGCTGCTTTCTTTTATCATGAAAGCCTGTATCTAGTAAGCAGGCTGAAGGAGGAGGGACCAGAGCCCCTTGTGTACTCCTATGTCTGACCAGGACGCTGGGAACTGCCAGGTTGAAGGCCCTGGTCACCTCCATTCCTGTTGCAGCCCCAGTTGAGGAAGTCCTGTGGCTAAAGGAGGGATCACCACGGTGCTGCAAACCCACATTTTCAAGTGGCAGGAAATGAGCAAGAGAAAGGAAATCAAACTGGGATGCCAGTGCAACACCAAAGCAGGTAAGAAAAGGCTCACAGCCCGCCAAGCATAGCTCTAGGACGGCCACTGTACTCCAGGCAGCTGAGCATTCTGCAGACTCTTCAGGCAGAGAGTCCCTGGCCAACTCACCCATCACAACAAGGCACTGTGCCTGCAGGAATATTTACAACACTGTGTTTTTCAGTAATAGGCGTCCCTGCCTGCCATCTGGAGCACACACAGGGTTCATTCTGAGCAGGGGCCAGATGCAAATGTTAATAATCCTCTACCCTTTCCCATACACCTTAACCATAAAGCTCCCAAATCGGTCTGCAGGCAGTTGTGAAATGACTGTTCCACATGGAAGACAGGTATCATTAACTCTGCCTTCCAGGTGGGGAAACATAGGAACTAGGGGATGCAGACTTGCCTGAGACTGCAAAGAGCATTCAAGTGAGGATTCACCCCAAGGCCTCCTAGGTCAACGTATTAAACATAAAACAGCCTTCCTCCTTACCAGAGGGCAAAGCAGTAGGGTGTGTTTGATGACATTTGCCACTGAAGTTCAGACCAGAGGTCCTAGACTTACCACAAATGACCCCACGGGATTCACAGCTCACAGCAGCCCCAGATCCACAGTGAGAAACAAGTCAATTTGAACCATGACAAGAAAGCAGAGAAGTCCCTCCCTTCCTCCCTATTTGCAGCCTCACATACATATGTAAGTTTTCTAAAGCTACCACCTCTGGAAGCCACATTAAAAAGTAATCCAAGGTTTGGCAAGGCCTTCAGATATCCCCATTCAGTCAATGGCATCACTGCACAAACTGCCAGCAACGTATGTGTGGGAGGTTATTAGTGGTAATTGGGCTAATGAGTTTGCCCAGTCTGAGGGGTAATTGAATCACCTCTATTTGTGTAAGGAACAAAAAAATTGAGAAGACACAGGCCTGGCCTCACAGAATTTTGTAACTCCTATGAAAGTTGATGGGAATTAAGCACCAAAATGTCTTCTGAGTTCTGGGACAAAGAAAAAGCCCCATCTTGCTAACAGTGAAGTCAGCAGACTTCTGCCATTGAGTTAAATGGAAGTAAGACTCAGGTTCTCCTACAGGCACAGCTGGATGCCTGGGGAACTGGAAGAAGGAGAAAGTGAAATAGTTACAGCCTTGACCTTGGGGTGCTGACGGCACCATGTTCCCTCATCTTTCATTTTAACATACAAACCCAGGAGCTAGTGGGCTCTAGATTCACGGCTGTGTCTGCTGATGGGAGGCCAAACCCTTGTGCAAATAAGATAAATAGAGATGTAGGGTGCAACAGAGGAGCTGACGCTCCAACAGAGAGCAAAAAGAAACACCACACCAACAATGCAGTATTTATCATCACTCAAACTGGAATCGCTCACTGATCCACACACAGACTTTAGGTATGATCCCCCACCCGTACAAAGGTAAGAGAAGTGGAAGGACACTTACTTTACTGTAGAGACTGTTCCAGTTGTGATGGAGTCTGTCTTGGAGAAAGTTGACTTCAGGTACTCAGGAGTGTTGAATGGCAATGAGACGGACTGCTCTGGCCCAGCCACAGGAGTGCTGCTGGGGGTACTGGCGAGGGGAGCAGGGGCCAGGCTGGGTGTTGGAGCTTTTACGGGAGTAAGCTTCTGAATGTTCCTCACATCATACTTGGAAGGCCGGCCCACCTTGCCTGTCTTGAAGGCGATGGCTCCTCCCATATCTGGGCTTCCTTCCCCAGGCTTGAAAAGGTGCAAGTACTTGACGTTTTCTAGGTCATACTTGGAGGCCTTCTTGTACGTGTTGCCATTTTGTGGCCTGATGCTCTCACCCGTCTTCAGCTTCTGAATGAAGAAGTCGTATTTGGAGGCCCGTGACATCAGGCCCTGCATCTGGGAACTGCTGGGAGAGGGCAGCGGCAGGATAGTGGCTTTGGTCTCCGTCAGCATGGAGGCATCTGGACCTGGCACCCGAATGGGCTGTGCCAGCACTGAGGAAGTTTCTTTGCCCAGCTTGGAGCCCAACTCCTCAGATTTGGCCAAGTGCATGGGCCAAGAAAGCTGCTCTCCAGCTTTCAGTTTGCGGATGTACTCCTCGTACTTGGAGAAGCGGGCTCGTTTGCTCATGGCGTCTTCGCCGGGGAGAGGGGCAGCAGTTGCAGTGGCCTCTGAGGTAGCAGCGTTCAGCTTGTCAAAGCTGATCTTGCGGGCCAGCTCGTCCCGCATGTTCTGGTCGTCATAGCCGAACATGCCCAGGAACTCATTCATGGTGGTGGCGGCATAATCTCGCAGCGATGAAGCTTCCCCTGCAGAGAGCCAAAGTGAGAGAGTCATGCATAGCGCTGATTTTTCTCCTCCTCCCATACCAGCTCTAGTAGTGGGGAGGGGGAGTAAGGGGAGAGGGGAACATGATCTACTGACGTTTGGCTCACTTGTTAGGTTTTACGACTCTTAAATTAATTTGTTTAAAAAAAAAAAGTAATTAATACTGGGGTAAAATAAAAAGAGTTCATCAATGCCAGGAAAATCAATTTCCTAAATGTTCTAGCCGATGGCTTTTCAGTACATTAAACAAAGTTTCATAAATGTCTCTGCACTCTTGCCTTGGCCTAATATGAAGAAAAAGTAATTTTACTGGAAGTGAGACCAATGCCAATATGCCGAGGTTTGTACAGTTCTGTCCTTGTGTATGTTTGTATATGGAAGGAGGTGCACAGGGGATAGACGGCAGCGTGTCTGCCTGTGTAAGCAGGGGGAGAAACTATGTGAGATATGCTATGTGTGTTGGGGAACAGCAGGTCTGGGAGCAGGCAGGACAGCATGGTGTGAAACGCGTAACGGACACAGTGCAAGACAAGGTATGGGGTGGAGCAGGAGGAGGACAGAATGGAAAAGTGCAGAGTAGAGAAGGAAAGCAGCAGAGGTGGAGATGAATTAAGGTGGGGGAAAAAACTGTGCATGAGAAGCTTGGCAGTGAGGAGTTGGGGGGGAACGAGTGGAGAACAGAATGCAAGACAAAGGCAGGATAGTTCCCCATAGCTGTTGCAGTCCTTCCCTTCCCTGTCAATTGTGTAACAGTTCTTTTCACCCAACTTGCTCCCTTCCTTCTCAATCCCAATGACTGGAGAGCTACTACTCGCCACTCGAAAAGGGGCCACAGTTCAGCAAAGGCTGTAGACACCAACTGGCAGCCTCCTGAGCAGCCAGGAACAGCTTCCAGTAAGACCAGGAAAGGGTGCAAAATATGTAAGGAACAGCCTTCTCTCCATCAGGATTTGGACTGAGGATGGAAAGAGCTGTTGTCCTGATGTGGGCGCCACAAAGGGGGAAAAAGCCTGTTCTCTGGAGCGTGGGTTGGGGAAGGGGCATGAAAGGGTTAGCCTACCTGAACTCGAGAAAAAATGAGCAAAAGCTGTCCTTCCTTGGGTCTCTCCCTCCCTTCTTCCCTCCCCTACTCCCTCAGGCAGTTTCACAGGCCACCAGGAGGGGAAGAACACACATCTGGAGGTCACCCAATATCAGTGTAAAGGAGGAAATAAAGATTGCTCTGACGTGCCAGCTTGGACTCATTTAGGCTTCAATCTGACACAGCGCTCCTCCTCCTCTCCCTCTTGCTTTCTCCTGCAGAGTAAAGATTTACTGTGTGCAGGAGTCCTTCAAACCTCCCTCGTCATCTTTTCCAATCACTCACTCTAGCTCTCCGGGCAAGCACACTTGGCCACAGGGACCCAGCACAGACAGGTACATTGGCAGCAGAATGGAGGTTCTGGGCACTGGGTCCCACTCAAACCAAATCAACACTGCCTTGAAACACAGTGGAAAAGGAAGGCACTAAGACATAGCCACAGAACAGGCCAGCAGACGCAAAGCATGAAAACGGACCCCTGAGATTTGGGCTATCTGACAGCCAGTGATGCCACACACAGAGGCATGTGCATACACATCACCATTTCTGTGCACACAAGACCCACTCAATGAGCAAAGTCAAAAGTTCCATAGCCATCAGCTTCCGTATCACTTTCCACAGGATGATACAGAGGAAGACACTGCCTGCAATGGGCACTAAAATGTGCCGGACCACGACAGTCATATTCATGTTTCAGTATTGCCTGGTATTGCTGTGTTCATGGAGTGAAAGTGCTGCTGCACTGGACCAGTTACCTGTGCACGTGGTACGTGAGAAAGACAATGCAAAGAACATGCCTGAAGCCTGCAAGCAGCAGGACAAAGATGCAACTGCTAAGTGCTGGTATCTGTCTTAGTCCAAAACGACTTTCCAGTTCTGGGCACTTAGGCCCTGCATGGGATTTTGGGATGCACCCTGTTAGTTACAGAACGGGTGGCAATGCCCCTGCAGTGTCTGGCTCAGGTTGTACCACGACCTCATGGGTCACTATCAATTTGAAAGGATGTTGAATGCAGAATTGTGCCCCACAGTGTCCAATAACAAGACTTGTCAGAAGGAAACCACAAGGAAAGGCTGTATTACTCCATCCTCAGAGGTAGGACCATTTCATCTGTGCTTCCCCACTTGACCCTCTCCTATGGCCCAGCCAACACCCTTCCAAAGCCATCAACTTTATCTTTCACACACAGACATAATTCCACCATGCTTTAAAACAGTTCTCCTTTTTACCTCTTTTTCTCTCTTCTCCACCTCCATTTCAGTGGAACCCTATGACCCAACAAAAGTGATTAAACCCATGAAATCCCTATTGGGCCTAACACTTCACTGTTTCTGTTAAATGTGCCTTCCCTGTTCTGCTTTTCCTCTCTTTTTGGACCTGTAAAACAATCCCTTAGCCTCCTTCACAATGCCCTGACTTCCAAGCACTGCAAGGAAAAACTCTAGCCAGCCTGTGCCAAACTGTAAGGGGAGAAAGAATACCACAGAGAGGATCTGATAGGAAATTAAACTGTTAAGTGTGATTTTTGCTAGCTTTAACAGCTGCCCTGAAAGCCAGCCAACCCCTTTCCTTCTTTATCCTAACCTGCAGCACACAAAACAGGAAGGGAGACCCTCTTTTTCAATCCCACATCTCAAATCAGTTTTACAAATCCCAGCTCGGTTCAGGCCCCACAGACAGTACAAATCCAGAGAAGAGATTTGAGGAAACTTAGCATTTTCTTTTAATGCTGGAGAAAACAAAACATTATAGGAGACCAGCTCCTTTTCAAACTTCTCTTATCTGCACGCTTGGTCTTGGAAAGCACCTTTGGTACCTATAGGCTAGACCTCAACTGATGCAAACCATTAGATGCAAAACCCAAGACCACAGGAAAGCCGGAGTTCTCAGACCTTTTTTTTTTTGAGCTTTGCAAAGTCTGAGCTTGAGCTCAGGTTTCACTGCCCTGGATTTAATTCCCTCATCCCCCAAAACACCTTGCATTCTGCTTTTCCTTTGCTCAAATTTGGTTCCAGATGATCACAACCCCGTCCCTGATCAACAGCTTTGCAAGTGCTGCGCAGTCTTTCCTCATCCACATTTGAGATGAAACCCTGGCCACCCTCCCCTACGCACTGCCTACCAAGCGCACCTTCGCTCATCCCAGCATGAGCCCACCAACACATCCCCTAAAGCCAAGACAACCTTCACTTATTTGCACAGGCACCTAACCAGAAGGCTAGAGGCTCTTCTAGTGGAGGCACCTTCCGGAAGGGAGCTCTAACCACAAAGATGGTATGAGGCCCAGCCAACTCATTCCACAGACACTTTCAAACAAGAGTGAAGAGGTAATGATTATTACCTAATTGACAGAAAACCCTCCTCATACCCACACACAGACAAAAGTGAAGCAGGACAGTGGTTGGGAAACAAATCCCTGTGAGAAGTGTACAGCCCTGGAAGGCACAGGAAGCATTGTCCCCGGGTTTTCTTTCCCCCTCCCCTGCATCGCATTTTTCTTTCCTTTTCCATGCGATAATAAAAGGGCTCCCTCTCCCCTTGCCGCTGCTCTCCATTTGTGGGCATTGCCAAAGAGCAGAGATCTGTGTGTCTCAGAGCAGCTATCGTATCACAAAGGATCCGAAGCTAGCAAAAAAGGGGCTAAAAATAGCCTGCAGCAGCACACTATATATGGAAGGAAAAGCAAAACAGCCCAAATGGAGTGCAAGGTCTGGATACTGGGGGATGGGACATCCCAGCCAGGGCTCTATCCTTTATTCTGCTTGGGAGGGAAAACATGTAGACTTGGGGGCTATAGGATAATGAGCAAGAAACTGTCACTCATCATGCATGTTCTCCCAAGTGGAGTGTCCCCAGGAAATGATGAAGAGAACCCCCCCCCTTGCTGAAAACAGGGCCAATATTCCCTTAGAGACTTAGCCAACAGGCTAAGAAAAGCAAGGAGAACTTTGAAAGCTTGTATAGGGGAAAGCTCCTGGTGACTACTTTAGCCCACTATGTAAGTAACAGGCAGAGTAGAGAACATAGGACTGTATAAGAAAATCTCCCTGGGTATGTGTGCATCAGTGAGAGATTGTGGAAAGGGATCTCTGTTGGAGACTGTACCGGGAAATCTAAATGCTATGTACAAACGTGTGTAGAGAAGTATGGGTCAGTCAGTGGGCAGGAGAGGGTGCGTGAATGAATGAACAAACATATCTGCACGTCCAGATCAGCTTCTGACGCCCATCTCCTGACAGATGCCAGTGACTCCTGAACACGTTTCCTAGCTGTACCAGAGAGGGAGGCACATAAGACAAGACCGAGCACCGACTCATTCGTCCCTTGTTCCCAAGGGGTGGCTCAGAAAAAGAAACAGGGATGCCATACATGCATGTTCTCCATATTGTTTCAAAGCACGAGGATTGAATAGCATGGACCATATCTCTGCAAACTCCTGCCTGACGCACATCAACCCTCACTGTCTGATTCTGGAAGGAGACAAAGGTGGCAGGGATTTGGCATTAGACCTCAGGAGGTGCTAGTGGAGGACACGAGCAGTAGCTGATGTCCCATAAAGCACACTGTCTATGTACACCCCAGGACTCCAGGAAGCTGGAACTTTCTCAGCTCCATATAATTAGGATCACGTTCCCCACTGATACACAACGCCAGTTAGATGTAGGATCTGGTTTTCTGTGTGGCTCCTGCTTTTTACCCAAGCTTCCAGCTGATCAAAGAAGTATGGGCTTGATTTTAAATGCTGCTGAGTGCTGCCAGCTCTGTATCCTCTATGTCCTCAGAGGGAGTAATGGGCCCTCAGAACCTTCAAAACCAGGTTCCTGTGATGACCCCCTCGAAGCTGTATTGACAGGGAGGGCAGAGCTGTATTCCTGTCCTTTGATCTGACTGCCTCCTGCTACCCCCCAACACCCAGGAAAAATACCT